CGCACATTTCGTTTGATCAAGTGTAAAATTAACATATATATCAAGTGTAAAATTAACATATACATCAAAAATATCTTTGATTTAAATGAAATCTGTTATAAAAATCTTACTTTTGAATTGTATAGTGTTTTACCACAGATCTCTCAATCGTTACTGTCATTTTACATACATAATATCCATATACCGAAAGGAATAAATTTAGCGGATCCTTCCTTCAATGTTCCTTCCGCAATTGATAATATCTATTTGATATCCTAGTTTGAGCAGAGATATTTTGGGTTTCACTCATAATAGTTTAGGAAAAAACCAGCCAAGGCTGCATGAATTAAAGCTTGATTGGATCGTATATAGCTGTATTTCTCAGCTAACTCAGGCAACATCTTCTATCTGTAATTTTACTCACATCCAAACGTCTACTATACTACTATACTCTCTTCTTACTCGCTTCCGGGAACTGGGTTCGGAACCTGCGAAGCATTGCATGTCTTTGGAAGAGCAACTATGCGAGAAGAGCTTTCAGAAAACTACAAGATGTAAAAACGGTCAGTTTATTGTAGGGGAGCGCGGGGCTGGAAGTTTCCGGGGTAAGTTGTTCCGATAGAAATAACTTTTTAAGGAAAAGAGATAGCAATATATGTGAAATACGCCGTAAAAGCGTCAGGTGACGCGCCGCGCCGGCAGCCATTTTAGTTACTCCAGCGACGGTGGTTGAGTGGCTGTGCGCACGTAGCTGTCAAAACATCACGCAAGTAAATTTTTTCGTGCTTAAACTATTTGGTCTATCTCTGTTTATTATGAATCAATTCATACGTAACTCTTCTAAATTGTAGTGACATTAGTAAGGTATCTTATTGCTCAAGTATTTTTGAATTAATTGTATTAGTTTGCCAGTATGTCAGTCCTTATATATAAAGGTAATTTGGGGCTATAAGTTCCTTCCTAGCGGGGCTTGTAGTTCCCCGGAACAACTTACCTCAACAGTCTTTCAATCGTATCTATAATTCTTATGACCATTTTTCTTTTATTTTAAGGATGCGAAACTACAAACGTAAGACAGAGAGAGGTAAAACCTTTGAGATATTGTTGCGTCAAGCTGCAGATGCTGTCATCAAGGACGGAAAACCAGTTAAAACTGTGGCACGACAACTTGAAATTTGCCACATGACGTTGCATCGATTTGTTACAAAATTGAAAGCTGTCAAGATTCCTACCATAGGTTATAGCCCAGGCTAGTTTACTTTGGAACAGGAAAAAGAGTTAGTTAACTATATTTTAAAGTATTCTTCAATATACTTCGGTCTTCTACCCGAAGAGGTGCGAAAACTCGCCTATGAATGTGCAGTAAAATTTTCGTTTGAAAACATTCCCCCTTCATGGCACAAGAGGAGCTGACTGGTTCACTAGATTCATGAAGAGGAACCCCGTTTTATCGATCAGAACCCCAGTAGCAACTAGTGCAGGACGTGCATTTAACAGACACAATGTGAATGAATTTTTCCCTAAGCTCGGTGAAATTCTATTAAAATATAAACTGACACCATCAAGAATCTGGAACCTTGACGAGACTGGAGTAACGACTGTGTTGGAGCCAAGGAAGATAGTAGCCCAAAAAGGTACAAAACAGGTCGGTGCTATTGTGTCTGCTGAGCGCGGCACTTTGGTAACTGTGGAGCTAGCAGTCAGTGCCGCGGTAAACACGATACCGCCGATGTTTGTGTTTCCACGTTTAAAGTATAAAGACTTGTTTTTGCGGGATGGGCCCCCCGAGTCAGTCGGGGCTGGAAACAGCTCAGGGTGGATGACTGCTACTGAATTCCTCACATATATGGATCATTTCATAAAATTTACTAAACCCACTACAGAAGAACCGGTGTTGCTATTATTAGACAATCACTCCTCACACATTGATATTAACGTAGTTGAAAAAGCTAAAGCCAACTCCATCATTATGTTGTCATTTCCCTCTCACTGCACGCACATGCTGCAACCTCTGGATGTTGGCGTCAACGGACCTTTTAAAACATTCTGTGCGAAAACTCAAGATAATTGGCTCCGCAACAACCCGGGTAAAACGATGTCAATCTACGAAATTCCTGGAATTGTTAAAACAGCATGGCTTTTAGCAGCAACCCCTACAAATATTATAAACGCATTCGAAAAAACTGGAATATGCCCTTATAACCCCGATGTTTTTACAGATGAGGATTTTGCTCCATCTTTCGTGACAGATCGGCCATTATTAGAAGCTACTTCATCTCAAGTTGTGTCAAATGAAGAGCCCTCCCAGCCTTCTATCTGCTCAATTTCGGCACAATATGAAGACCAGCCAGGACCATCCAATATTCAAATATTATCACAGAGTTATGTCTAGCCAGAGCCTTCGACAATTTTAATATCAGTGCAGAATGATGAACAACCCCAGCATTCGACATCAAATCAGTGTGACCAAGGACTTCAATCAACGCCAGTAAAGACAAACGCTACAGCTGTGTTTAACCCAGAAATTGTTAAACCTTTACGAAACGCACCACCACGAATGCAGAAATCTACAAAACGACTTATGAGAAAGGCTGCTATTTTAACTGACACGCTAGAAAAAAACGCGTTGGCTGAGGAACAGGCAACGAAAGGAAAAAGAAAAAATAACTATAACTGTAAAGGAAAAGGTAAAGGGAAGAGTAAACCTCAAGAAAAAGCTAAACGAAGAGTATTTACAAGGAAACGAGAGTGACAGCGATAACGATCTGGAATGGCACTGCATAATTTGTGGTGATTCATATTCAAATTCTCGTCCAAAAGAACAGTGGATAGAATGTACCGTTTGTAAAAATTGGGCACATGTCAAATGTTTAGACAACGGTTATAAAGTCACATATGTGTGTCCTAACTGTGAGTCAGATGAAGAAATGAGTGACAAATAAGATTGGTGATGAATAAGATTAGGTACTGATTAATAAGAATGGATGTTGCCAAAGTTAATTACGCCTGATAAAGTAAGACTTAATGAATAATATTAAGTATGATTTAACAAAATAAACGTTTATCTAGAGGTTAAAAGTTATGTTTTGTATTTGTAAAGTTATTTTTGTTTAGGTATCTAAATTTTTGATTTTTGTAGTTTTTGAGTTGTGATAGATCTTTTATAATTTAACTAAAGAAAAGGTTATAGGGAGCTCACCAGTTATGTTTTGTTATTTTTGTAAGTTAATTTATAAATCTTATAAGATGTGTAAGATAATAGATCTCAATAATTATAATTTAACAATATAAAAAAGGTTATGTCGTGCATAGAATAAACATTACATAGAAAAATTAATAGAAATGGTTGTTTTATTTAAGAAACCCTATGTTATTCTGGCCGTATATTTTCATAATCTAAGCGGAACAATTTGCCTCATAAGTGGAACAACTCGCCCCAAAGCGGGCTGAATGTTCCGCTCCGAAATTTGGCAAATATTTGCTTCTATAAAAAAACTATTGAGATATTAGTAAAAGTGACTATAATATTACAAAAAACGATAAACATCTGTAGCAATATTTTACATGTTGAAAATGAAACCCGTCGTTTTTATGATAAAACTTCATGTTATTTGAAAATCGGAACTTCCAGCCCCGCTCTCGCCTATAAATACCATTGAGCGATTTATACAATGTGCATTCTCGTATCAACTCGTATAGAATGGCAAAAAATCCTCTTTTTATCTTAGCAACTACCTACGTACCATCCAAAGACAATTTCGCAGACCTAGTTTCATGCGGGTTAAAAGCTGACTTCCTCAGATCTTTCTCTTTGAGGTGGTTTGGACTCGAATTTTTGCAATATGATCCAATCAAGTTTCCAAACAATTCCTGCATTCAAACAAATCAACTTAAAGAAATATCCTTAACATAAATTACACAAACAGACAATGTCACTTTTAACTTAATTAATTAATTTTCTTTATTTAAATCAATATATTCATTACCCAAGAGCTCTTGTCGCATGCAGGATTAGGATTTAATCTTGGGCAAACAGGCCATATCATTAATGTAGGATTTCCATATCATAGTTCTTGTAAGTACAAAAATTGTTTATTGTTAGTCATGTTGGGTTAGGTTTGGTTGGGCCGTAGCCACCTTCTGGGAATCCGTGATTCAGAAGAAGGCTTCTGAGCGGGATCGAGAGAGAGCGGATCCCGCCCAGAAACGACGTCGTCAAGGCTTTCGTCACGGCCCATGGTAGGGAAACTCTGTTTTAAGAGAAAACGGAGTTTCCATTCCAGAAATGGGGTCCTCCGGGGTTGCGACATTCGGGGCGGAGGCCTCGAACGCGTAGTTATAACCCCCGAGGACGATGATGACTCGGAAGTGGTCTCGAGACATCGTGGTAGCACTGCGAGGGTGCTGGGAGCAGTAATTACTGCTCCCGGGACGTGCTATTAGTGTAGCAAAGCGATGGAGGGGCCCCGGTTGCGTTTCGAACGGAGATCCCGGGACCCTTAGTATACCTACTCTGATAATGACCACCGTGGCGTTTTTGCCGGTAGGAGTTCGTCATAACCATCTAGTTGCCAGAGCAACGAATTCGAACGAACGTCCATAAGGATTTCCCCACGAAAAAAAAGGGTTAGGTTTGGTTAGGTTTTGAGAACTGTCACGTCCACTTGGGCTGTTACGTCGTGTCCTCGTAGCTATAGTGGGGGATGGGGCCGGAGAGTTGGGCCGAATGAGAGCATATCAGGCTTCATTGATCTGGTCAGACCATATCATAATGTGGGCAGCGTGTATTTTTCATTACATGAAATGGTCAGTCACATCATGAAGAGATCAGTGCTATGATCTGGCAACGACATATACGAGTATATTCTACTTTACTTCTATCTATATGCCTATGCATGTTAGCATATCCAAACAGATTTTGGAAACCAAAGTCTGAGTAGAAAAATCACTACAATTTAAAATAATTAGATGCTGCTCTGTGCAAGTTAGTAATAACTCTGTACACATATTTTCTTTTGCAGTACTTCGACGATGCGTACCGTTCAAGTCTCTCATGCATTCTCGTGGACAATATCGAGCGATTGCTGGACTATGGGCCGATTGGACCGCGTTACTCTAACTTGACACTGCAGGCGTTGCTGGTGCTGCTCAAAAAGCAGCCGCCTAAAGGCAGGAAGCTGCTCATATTGTGCACTAGCAGCCGAAGGTAGGAGTTCTGTTTATGCGATTTTAAAACTGTTGTTTCAAAAATTAGGTACTTCTAATTCTTTAAATAGTCCTAACAGAAAATGTTTGTTGTAATGAATAAGTCACGAATTTTTATAAGTCGCGCAATTAAAGAAGCGTTTTATAAATGACGGTCGAAATACATGCCATATTTTAAACAGTATACCGATATTACCTTGTTTATACATACTAGAAGTAACTGTGTTCGTTAATTTGCATCCAAAACGTTTTAAACGCCTTGACCAAGTAAGTAGTTTCACGTAATAGAGGCAAAGGCTTTTGTGTCATCAATCCGCTAAGACAGCACTAATGCATAAAAGTGTCTACTGCATGGCTCCCAGAGTCGCGTCCATACCGCGTTTGTCGCCGTTCACGTCCACCGGTAGTCGGCTTCCGCCTGAAGGGAGTAAGTCGCGTGGCGTCACTTAGCAGCGGGTGTACGTGTCGTGTTGGAGCGAACTTGGCTTCACGTCGAAATTAGTCTCCGGGAAGCTTCGAGATCGCCCCTGACTCCTCCTGGGACGATATAACTTTGCCGCTGCCTTAACCTACATGCTGGGAAGAGAGCTCTGGAGGCCGGTGTGCTGCTGTCAGGAGAGCGCACACTTGTCGGTGACATCGTACCTACGTCGAGATCCGTCCCCGTGGGACCTTGAAGTCGCTGAGCTTTCGGCAGCTCCCTTCCCAGAGGCGCGAGATACGCCACAAATGCCGAGATGGCCTAAATATACAACTAGGGGGGAGCTTCTTAGGTTCAGAGTGCTGCTATCAGGAGCGCACACTTGTTGATGGAATTGGCTCCACGTTGAGACTCGTCTACGTCGAGTCTTCATGGGGCTTTGAGACCGCTGACCCTTCGGCAGATCCATGCTAGGGGAGCGGAATACGCCAAAGCTAAGAAGATAGCCAACAATCCCGTTCCTGAAGGGCTCCCAGGACCGACCCACAGTAGGGGGCCGTGAGGATTACCTGGGTAATGGGCAATGTACTGAGGTCCGAGAACTGCTGGGCAGAACGCCCATGCAGAAGACATCGTATGCATGGCTCCAGTCATATATGATAAAATACTTAAAAGTTGGAAAGAATTGCCACTATCGATATTTAAAAAAGGGCTTCGAAGCTCCTTGACCGTCAAAGCATACCATAGCATAACAGAATTCTTGACTGAAAAAAAATTTTCTTTTGAGATTAAGACAATTCGTTTATTTAATTAATGTTTAAAACTCTAAATTATATGTGTTATTTTATTTTGTTATAGTTTAGGAGATTAGTTTATAATTCTGTATTTTTTGCATGCCTTCTGGTAAATTATGGCTGAACTCATGTTTTACCAGAAGGCAGTCATATTTGCAGAAGAACATATTTGCAAAATAAAATATCTTTTATCTTATCTTGAAGCATGCTAACTCTCTTACACATTATCGGTTATTAAACTCGCACCGTTAGTAAAATGAACTTCAAATCAGTTTCTAGGTTTTTGATATTTTTTTTGTTATTGTTTATTTTGTTCTAAAAAGTATTTTTCAAAAAATGTTTTCTCGAAAATGCGGAAAGATCCTGCGTATCGACACACTTTGAAGTGTATACAATCTAAAATATTTTGAAGAAGAAAAGAATATGGAGTAGTATGTATCTAGTCAGTAATTTTAGAACGAATATGTCATATTATGAAAATTCTCTAAATCCGGTTATGGTAAAATTCAGTTCAATTGAAAACTTCTTCCTTTTTATAAGCCGTTCTAAAATAAAAAATAAACTTGAAATAAAAAGTAACAATTTAATAATTGTTTTTCTCACTGTCCGTCAAAAATGGCTGCCATCTAAAACTGACTCTATATATTTTTTTATTTATACCCATTAAACATTTAAATCAGAATAAAAAAAACTAAAGCAAATAATTGTATAATTATTATTAATAAATGGGTATTTTCATATTGCATATATTTTTGTTATTGAATAATATTCTTCCCACAGACAAGTGTTAGAAGACATGGAGGTTCTCTCGGCCTTCACTGGTATCCTCCATGTGCCAAACCTGTCGCAACCAGAACATGTGATGGCCGTGTTAGAAGAATGTGATGCATTCGGCAAGAAGGATCTAGGCAAGATACAAAAGAACTTAAAGGGTGCCAAGTGAGTAGATAATTTACAACAAGGCTAGATTACAGTACAGCGTATATACGTCCGTACGTACTCTTGAGCATAGGGCTTGTTATTTCTGAGAGGGTTTAAGTGAGCCTTCACGTTTTTTAATATTTTTTTTTAATTTCTCATATATATAGGTTTTGTCACGATTTTGCCTTTACTACCGAGCACTTGAGCTTCCTTACTACAGTTATATACAATTACATCCCTCGTCCAGTAAATTTCCAATTTTGCTGACCCTTCATAAATATTTTATGTATTTTTATTCGTAGTTCGTACTAATAATATTAAAATGTAAAATTACTTAACAACTTTGGTGATGGTATTTTAAATATGTGACGTCTTTTGTTGTAGATTGTGAACCCACTCATTAAATTGAGAACTCTTATTTTAACTTGTCACTTCCATGACTGACTTGCGAGCCGCCGTTTCTTCCTCCCCCATGCATGCCCTGCACTGGCTATCAGTAACACCTATGGTAAATAAATGTTTGTTTAAGGAGCCATGTCCTGTGATAGCACTTGTTACTATCCTAATCTGTGGCTTGTTCAGTCTCATTAGAACCTTGGTTAGACAACTGTTTATTTCAGGCAGGGCCTCCCTAGCTTGTCTACAGTCTGCTAGATTTTTTCAAAGCTGAGCGAGTAGATTATTGAAGCTTCTATGTACCAGTGAACAAACGTAACCAACAGGGATTGGATAATTATTAATATTATTAGTATAATTTTTCCTGTCAAACCCCATTGCTTGCCAATCATGTTTCTGCATTGCCAGAAAGTTATAGTAGCTTTGTTAATTATGTTTTCTATGTGTTTATTACAGTTGAGTTTACTGTCCAAGGTAAGGCCTAAGTATTTTACCTCAGAAGATAGCTGGAGTTTTGTGCTGAAAAGACTTGGAAGATGATAGTTATCCAGCATTCGTTTTTGTGTGAACATTACTAGAACCGTTTTGTGTGGATTAACGGTTAGCTCATATTCCCTGCACCATCTCTCCACTATACGGAGAGCCGCTTGGGTCAGGTCGCACACCATGCTTGCTGTCTTTCTAGAGACCAGTATTGTCAGATCATCTGCATAACATACTGTGTAGAAATGATTAGCACTTAATTTGCTGATGAGTTCATTAATGACCATATTCCACAGGAGAGGTGAAAGAACCCCACCCAGGGAGCATCCTTTCATGATCTGATTTGTTTGAGATTTACCAGCAATCTTTATTATTCGTGTACTGAGCCTGTTTACTATCCAGTCAATCAGTGCCGGTTCAACTTTATGTCTACTTAGTGCACCTTTTATGCTGGAGAAGTTTGTTCTGTCAAAAGCACCTTCAATGTCTATGAAGGAGCGTATTACGTGGTGAAGTGCTGATTCTGTCGATTTACCTAAGCTGTAGGCGTGTTGTTTTTCGTGTAGCGTTAAGTTAATTAGCGCCGACTACCTCAAATCCCGTTCACACATCCTCTCCATCGTCTTTATGAGAGAGGATGTGAGGCTGATGGGTCTGTATAGTCGCTCTTACCTGTTTTGGGTATGAACGTGACTTTCACTTTCCTTCATCCCCTAGGAACATATTTAAGAGCCAGACATGCTCTTATTATGGTAACAAGTCTGACTATTAGGGCTTTATCCACCCACTGTAGAGGTGCCGGGAATATGCCGTCAGGTCCTGCTGCTTTGTAGGGAGGTAATTGTGAATGGCCCAATGGATTTTCTCCATCGTCACCTTCTTCTGTTGGTGTCAGCGCATCTTCATGCCGGTTTACCCTTTCACCTACACAGCAACCTGGGAAGCGACTTTCAATTAGGGTGCGTTGGGTTTCATTTGGCGATGTTGAGTAGCTTCCGTCGGGTTTCTTTAAAGAGATGGATCCTGGCGTGTTCTGTTTAGCTAGGATTTTCCTTATCCGATTCGCTTGTTCACAGATTTCTATGTTACCACAGAATTTGCGCCACACTGTTGAGCGTCGATACCTGATACATTTTTTGTATTCAAACTTACCTTTCTTATATAGTAGCCGGTCTTCATCCATTGAGGTATTCATGGCCCTATTTAGGGCTTTTCTTACTTTCTTACATTTCCTGTCTAGTTCTTTATCCCACCACAGTTGCTTTACCTCAGCATGTTTTGGTGGAGTGATTAGTGGACATGATTCATGGTAGCTATAGATCATGACTTTATTAACAGCTGCTAGCTGTTCTTCTAGAAGCGATTGCCAACACCCGCGAGCGAAGGCGTCAGCCTATTAAGGTATCTTGTTTTATCCGTCTTGCGGGGATTTCTCCATGGAGCCGATCCATTAGTGCTACAACCATAATATAACTGCAGCGTGGCTGGCTACCACATATAAAATATTAATTAAACAAAAACTGTATGAAAAGAGTTATTATAATAAAAATCATACATGGTTCATAATAAGCCCTGCGAATGAGGTGGTCGCTTCTAAGCTGTTAAAATTATTTACAAAATTTTGTAAATAATTTGTAACTATATTGTTAAATTTAAAAAAAAAGTCCCGCTTGGTTTCTTGCCGCTTCTTCTAGGACACAAGTTTTTTTCCGAACCAGTGGTAAAGTAAAAAATGACTTTCAATAAGAATTACGTGTGATGTTTATTTGATAAAAAGGTCGAAGTCAATTAAATACGCATTATTAAGGATAACTCTAAAGCAGATCTTGATCAAATTTATATGGGGCCACATGAGAAGCATCAGCTTTCAAATAAAAAAAGAATCTTTAAAATCGATTCACACGCAAAAAAAGACATACAGTCGACTTGAGTACCTCCGCCTTTTTATGAAGTCGGTTAAAAATATCCAGATAGACACTGGAGAAAAGCATCAAAGATGCAAAACATATGATAGTACAACGGTATCCAAACCACTTGCCAAGGTTAGTGATTACGGCATATCCTTCCTAATGTGGAAGAGGCTCTTGTAAACAAGCTGTGGCCTATTTAAGAGCTAATGAGAAGAAGAGTAAATATATTGTATTGCAATGGTATTGGATATAGGTGATCAGCTTTTTCTGTAGGTTTATTTCTACAACTTGAATACCTTTTAAAATTGAATAATTTACAACAGTGTTAGTGTCTTTACTATGTGCTAGTGTTAATTAATAATACTACAACAGTTATTCTTTAAAAAATGTACATAACAATACGGTATTAATATCTATCTTTATCTTTGCTTTTAATTATTTCGAGAATAATGAAAAGATGAGCTTTGTCATAATTTTTATTGTATATTATTTTGTGCAGGATATTTATCGGCATCAAGAAGCTTCTAGCTCTAGTCGATATGGTGAAACAAACCGACGAAGAATCCAGAGTGGTGAAATTCCTTACGAAAATGCAAGAGGAGGGTGGTCTCGATCTCGGCACCACCATACACTAAGAATTGTTACAACCTTAGGGATTACATACGCATACCACACGCACGCCCTCACCGAACCATTCCACTAATCCACATTATTCATTGAAAGCCCATAATACTAAAGTCACTGAGTGCACTCCTTGCACCTCAGATCTAAGAAGCTACGAGATTGACTACGACGAAGTTAGCGAGAGTATTGAGTCCTTAGGAGATTCTAGTCACAACAAAAGAGGAAGAACAGCTAAAGGCAATGAGATATCGCCAGTAAAAATGCCACTGATGAGAATCCGAAGCGTCGAAATAATTTTTGAAGACGATATGTCCACTTGCACAGATACGGGAATATTAGATCGCAGCATGGAATTGCTTCTATCTGATAGCAGCGAGGATTCTACTAAATGTGTTGACGATTTACATGCCGAAAGAGACGAGAATGACTGCTCAGTAACATTAAACGCGGAGGGTGATTTATCAGATGACACATCTATTTCTTCAAGGGATAATATTATCGGAAAAGAAAATCATAAAATAGAAACACCACAAATCCATCAAATCGAAGCAGACCGCACTCATATTGAACACCACAGTAAAAAGAGCATGATAGTCAATGATGAGACTACATTATCACTCATTGTATCTGAAATAGGCGATTCTGGGCACTATACTGAGGATCCATGCTCATCTCAAATCGAAACAGTTCCCATTATAACTTACGACGATGCTTTGCTTTCCCATTCTTTCGACGTCGTCAATATTGATGAACCATCAGTGCATAATACATGCGATCTATCCGAAGTTTGTAGCATTATTGATAAAGGAAAATCAATGTTATTATATGAATATATTGAAAGCAATAGTGATAGTTCCGATAATACTGCTATATGTGACGATGAAAATGCTGAAGTGAAAATTTTAACATCTCTTCATAATGCCGTGGTTTCTGATGAAGAGGACACTGTGTGCGACAGTTATGATCTACAGTATGATTCTTTTGTGGACATGGGAAAGTTTTGAATATATAATCTGTATTAAAATAACCCTTACATTTTTGAAGGCATTGTGCAGCTTTTTATATATATAATGTATTTGAAATATTTAAATGTTTGATATTACTTTAATACATTGAATTCAAATGTATCAGTTGTATTGTACTTTGTTGAAATTTTACTGGTTTAATTGCATATTTATTTTGATGTGGAAATGTTAACTTTTGATTGAGCTATTCTACACCCTATAGACCTGTACACGCTTATGCACAGAGGGCTCGGTGGTATGCAACTTTCTTAACCATGTCATGTCCTTAACCACTTAATTTCTTAGCAAATCTTCCAATGACTTTGTGTAATATTTAATATCCATAGGTTTAATAAAAGTAACTAGGGTTTTTGTTCCTAATGCCAAATATGACATGGTTAGAGAAATCCCGGGGTTGTAAGTTAAGACAATAGCTCAATATTGTAATAATATTGTATTATAATTTAGCAAAAGTAATATTTATTTACTTAAATTTTTATTAAATTATGATGCAGCTTGATGCTGTCATATTGTTTATGTAATAGACATAGTTGACGATTGTGTAATACTAATAATAGTAGAAGATAAGGAAATTGTATCAATATGGATTATTTATTAATAGAAAATTGCAAATAATTCATGCATAGTGTTACTGTAGTTGTAGAATTTCACTATTCTTATATATCTTAAATCAATTACAGTTATATAACTCATGAGTACAATTACAAATAAAAATTAAAATGCTTTAGATGTTGTACTTTATTACTTCTAATCACTGATTCATGCAAGTGGAATAAAGAATTAAAATAATCTAAAAAATGTAATTATTGTTTGAATAAATTGAAATATTTATTGCATCAATTTTAAAAAGAATATTCTATTCAGTGCTTTTTAGAAAACTAAAGCATATCATCGCATAGTCATCTATTTAAATATTTTATGAACTGTTAAAATACTGTTAATTTTTAAGAAAAATATTATTTTACAAGCGTAAAAGCAAATTAAAGTACATCAAAAAATTAAACTTGTCAAAACAATATTAGATTTTTTAAAATATTAAAATGTTCAAGTTTAACATTTTATCACTGTTAAACTTTGTTATTTGTTGCCACAGGATTTGATTTTGTTGTTTGTTGAAACTTTCTGTGCTTACATTCCATTCATACAATTGTTCTAAGTTGTATAAGTTTGAATATTCTTGTAGAATCTGAGAAGTAAAATATTTTGAAATATCCATGCATTTGTATAACTCACTAATTCAGTAGCACTTACATATTTTAATATTAATATATATAATAGGATGGGCAGGCAGTCATTATGGCATGCTTTATTTAATAATATTGTATATGAGCAATATACATTAGATATTGTTAAATGTCAATACCCTTACATAGTTATAGATAAAAATTTCACTTCAGTATTTTTCAGTATAATGTATTTCCACAAAATAACCCCATTTTTAAAGTATAGCAAATAATTCATATAATTATGTTTGTGTGTCTTATTAAATCCTTATTACATCTAGGACTAGAATATGGTAATTTAACATGCTATGAAAGGTATTTTCTAAAATGTTATATGCTTTTATTGTATGTAATACATAAACTCTGCCATAAATGAATTGTCTTGCCTTTCAAAGTTTATTGTTGGAAATAAAATGATTATAAGGTTGTGGCTTTGTTTACTTATTTATTCCCTTAATAATTTTACAATCTTTTTATAAAATTGACAAATTAATGGATAAAAGAATAAATTGAATCGTAAAAACAAAATATTTTGAGTGACGTGATTACAATGATTATGAAATTGATTGCCTTCATGTGTTAAAAAAATTACTTTTTACAACTTCAGAGCTGTTAAGAATAATTTCACATTTTGAAGTTCAGGCAGCCATTGCATTGACTTCAAACTTCAGAATGTAAAATTATTTTATTCTTCTTTAGTTCTTTGAAGTCGGCTGTTACTTTTTATATAGTTATTTTGGTATCTTTTGTGAGGGCTAAGGAATATCTCAATATTGTCTAAATGTGGTGAAATTTTTGATGTAACTACATCAAAAACTTCACCATCTATTTCGCCCTGAAGGTTTGAAATTATCTCCAAAATTATATTGTACTATCCTATTTCATAAAAAAAAGTACTCAAAAATGGTTCACAATAGACAAACGTATTGCATAGCATATATATAAAAAACAATCAAATTTTAAATGAAGTTTGGTAAAATACAAAGTAACTCTTAAATAAAGGCAATTATTGTTAAATAATATTTATGTAACTCTAAGATCAACCATTGAAATCTTTAATTGAATGTGCCAGTCTTTCAGATAAAACACCTAAGATTCTTCGTCTTCAAGATCTCTCATCTATAATATCAGTAAATCGTGGATTTATTTATTAAACAATGAGTCGACAATTAACCTTATCTTATAAAACTCAAATACAAGCACACAAATACAAATAATACCACAAAACGTAAAGGAAGATTAAAAAGGATATTCTTTATTATTATACATTAAAATAACTTTTTAAATTAATTAGCACTTTCACATGCATCTACCCAATCATTGTAGACATCAATTGGTTCAGATAAAACATTTGTTGTTGTCTGAAAGTCTTCTAAACACACCCGACATTGTATTCTAGCCGTATTTCGAGCTCGGTCCCTGAAAACATCAATGAAAAAGAAACTATACAATTTACGTTAATTATATAAAGAACATATCTTTTTCATTAAAGCGGATATACTTCTTACATTTTTACTTCACAGGATTTTTCGTGGTTACAAAATGGGCAGTTAAATTGCTGATCTAAAGGCTCAATTGCCTTACGTTTCGGTGGAGGCTTTCTTTTAGATTTACGCCGACCCATACCTGTAAAAGTAAATCGTAATACATAAAAGAACATACAGAATATATATAAATATATACATAATATATATTCCATAGAAAATTAATAGTAATTTAACTTTTACTTTAGAATTTTATTCCTTGTTTATTTTGGTACTATTATAAATAATAATCTACTGTTCACTGATCATTACTGATTGATAGATGGTACCATAGAATAGAGTAATATATACAGAAACATACATAGTCAGTAATCTATGGATAGATGGATAGAACCATCGAATACCACAAACTAGGGATGTTCGATGATCATCGATGTTAGAAATTTAAACATCGATGTTTAATAATAAATAAAATTAAAATCCTTTATTTCGACCAACAATAGTCATAGATTGTTAGTAAAACAAACCTTAACTTAATGTTAGTTATAAAATAAAATATAAATTAATATTAAAATGTTAGTAACAATGGTACTTATCCTATATTAGTAACTTAACCTACACCCAGCCTCACATAGCGAAACCCAGTTGAGGTTCTTCTGGTGCTGGTGTGTGCACCTTTCCAAATTCTCCAGAGATGGCTATCCAGCTTCACAGCCAATGTGCTGAGAAGGGTGTTGGAGCTCCTTAATAGCCTGCTCATCATGGACGCAGCACGCTTGCGCATGATCGCATAGAAGTGGTCCACACGAGCATTCGCAAACAATGCCGACGCACTACAGTGTCGAGGCCTCCTCAACATTATCCTCAGCACATTGTTGTACTGAACACGCAGCGCACTGTAGGCTCGCTGCGTATAGTTAGTCCACAGACTGCACATGTAAAAGGATTGGCAATACGCCTTGAAAGTTAACTTGACTTGTGTCGTACTACGTGCAAATCTGCGAGCCAACATATTGCCCCGAACCGACAGCGCTCGGCGCTCTCGTTCAATGTCGCTGTCGTCATCCAGGCGTTCAGTTACAATGTGTCCGAGGTACTTAAACTCAGCCACTTGTCTCAGAGCCGTGCCACATAGCTGGATACGTGGTTTGAAGTCAAGTGGTTTGTTTTTACCTCTGAAGACAATAAATTCACTCTTTTTTGAGTTGTAGATGAGTCCAGTCTCCTCGGCATATTCTTCACAATTTCTCAACAGTTTACGAAGCTCTCTGACTGAGGGGCTCAACAGAACCATGTCGTCTGCGTAACTAAAGTTATTCATCGAAACACCGTCTATTGAGCAACCGACACCTGCTCTGCTGAGCCTCTCAATCAGTCTGTTAACATAAAGATTAAACAGCCTGGGTGACGTCAGTCCTCCCTGCCTCACTCCGCACTCTAGTTTATAGGGGTCACTAAAGGCGTTACCCCATCTAACTGTGTTAGTCTGATTACCGTACCAATATTCCAGCAGTGAAACCAACTTCGGTCTTAAACTACTTTCCTGTTTTAGTTTCCGCCATAGGATTCTGTAAGACACACGGTCGAAGGCTTTAGACAAATCCAGGAAACACGCATACACCTGAGACTTTCTGTCCGTGTAGTACCGCACAGTCTGCTTGAGACACAGTATTGCGCTCTCCGTTGATAGTTCGGGCCTAAACCCGAACTGTGCGTCATGTAACTTTACTGCCTTACTTAACTGTGTATCAAGCAGACTATCCAGAACTTTAGCTGAGATGGTCGCTAAGGATATCGGCCTGTAGTTGGTTTCATCCGCTGCATCGCCCGTCCTATTCTTAAGGATAACTACAACCACTGTCCTCATCATTGTATCAGGCAAGTAACCATGACTAACACATAGGTTGTAGAGTAGTTTGAGGACTCTGTAAAGGTGCATACCCGCATATCTGAGGTGTTCGACGCTGAGGCCATCGTGGCCTGGTGATTTCCCACTCTTCATATTGTTTATAGCTGATTTAACTTCGGCGATTGTGAAGCGCGCTATCCCTCATAATCACACTGTCCCTTGCGTCACCATCATTCACCATATAACTAACACTGCACGGTTCCACCTTAAACTGCGACATGAATAGGTTCGCTATATTCCGACATCCACTCATGGTTCCCACTTGAGCTGAGAGACTCGACCTTGGACTCAGTCTGTTCGTGTGCTGCCAGAATTTACCAAATTGCTTAGGCTCACACGAGGATGCCAGTATATCCATATTAATTTGTTCTTCATTATCCTGGCACCATTTGAGTTTTCTTTTAAAAGCCTTACGTGACTCTTTCATATCCTCGTATACTGCCACACACGTTGGCTTTCCAACATGTACCCACGACTGAAAACAGAGACGAGCTCTGTCGTGAGCCGGCCTCACATGCGTGTTCCATCCCACTATCTGTCGCGTTTTGTTACGCTGTACACTCTTATGACTATAAATTGCAGCATCCTGCAATATACTTATTTATTTATTTTATTTATTTCACAATTTATGTACACACAAGTTAGGGAGAGGACACATCATAATAAAAAGTTTGTACAAAGGCTCTACTTATCTCACAATGAAATTTCTTCCAGTAGGCCGGTTTCAAACACATATGATTACTAAATGATTATAAGGTGTGCACTTTGTTATTTTACTACACATATGGGTGTAAGATAAATATATACGTCAACTCAAATACTTATATATATATATATATATATATATATATATATATATATATATTCATATATATACATATATACATATACATACATATTTTTTAATTACTCATAAATACTAAATATAATATAAAGTCATAATTAAATATATAAACATATATACAGACACACATACATACATATATGTACATGCACATATTTGTAACAGTATAGTACATATCACAGATTTGAGACTTACACAGAAGACAGCGATAAATAATGTTCTTTCACTCGTTTTTTGAATAATGTCAGTGTTTTGATTTCTCGAATATCAGTAGGAAGCGAATTCCAGAGTCTTACTGCTTGTACGGAGAATGAACGGGAATATGAATGAGTATTAAAGGATGGGAATTTTAAGAGAGTTTTAAGGTGAGATCTACAAACTGTATCTGGGGATTTAAGAAAGGTAAATCGATTTCGGAGGTATGTAGGGAAGTTTGGGCTGTGTAGGATGTTAAAAAGGAGACAAAGGATACGAGTGTTCCTGCGAAATCGGATCGGGAGCCACTTGAGTTGCTTTCTATATTCAGAGACGTGGTCAAACTTCTTGAGTCCGAAAATATACCGAATGCAAAGGTTTTGTAATCGCTCAAGTTTGTGTAATTGCTCGTCTGTGGCATCCAAAAAACAGACATCAGCGTAATCTAAGATAGGCAAAATAAGGGTTTGAACAAGAGTGATTTTCGTTGATAAGGGTAAAAAACTTTGAAGACGTTTTAATGAGTGGAAAGCATAATAAACTTTTCTACCTAAGTCCATTATGTGAGAACCCCATGATAACCTATTGTCAATAATTAAGCCCAAATTCTTCACAGATTCAGTATAAGTAATTGATGTGCCATTGATAATCACATCTGGCAGGGTGCATTTATCAATTAAGCTACTAGTATATCTGCTACTTACTATTATTGCTTGAGACTTACTTGGATTAATAGTTATACCATGTGATCTGGACCAACGACTAATTCTCTTCAAGTCATCATTCAGTGCTTCTATCGCCAATTTAGCTTCAGATGCCACAAAGTGACGGTAAAGCTGCAAATCGTCTGCATAAAGATGGAAGTTGGAGGATATTATTTTTGTTATAGAATTGATAAAAACGGTGAAGAGCAAAGGAGACAAGACGCCACCCTGGGGTACACCCGTTATAAGATTACACCAGTTGGAATAAGTATCATTGGAACGGATACATTGTCAGCGACCCCGAAGGTAGGAATCAAACCAGAGAATGGCCGAAGGTGAAACATTAATAGACTGGAGAATTTTTAAGAGGATATCAAAGTCAACAGAATTAAAGGCACTGCTGAAATCTAATAAAACGAGTACGGTTAATTGTTTTTGATCTATGGCTCTACGGATATCATCAGTTACCTGAAGAAGAGCAGTTGTTGTACTATGACCGGGCCGGAATCCAGATTGAAATATATTTAAAATATTGTTAGAATTAAGGTAAGAAGACAATTGATTGTGAACAATATGTTCAAGTACTTTAGAGAGGAATGGTAATATAGATATAGGTCGAAATTCGGAATGTAATATAGGGTTAGCAACCTTGGCTATTGGAATAATTTGTGCTAACTTCCACGAGCGTGGAAAACAGGAGAAAGATAATGAAAAATTAAATATGTGAGTAAGAACTGGGAGAATACAAGGTAAAATCATAGTTATCATTGTGGAAGAAATTTTGTCATTTCCCGTTGCAGTAGAAGATATAGATAGCACTGATCGTTTTACTTCATCTTCTGACACTGATACAAATTCAAACTGGCTGGAATGTTGCAATGGACATCTGGATAGTTCTAGCAGGGTCTTAGCTTTTATAAATGAAGATAAGGAAACAGGTGGAAGAGAAAAATATTGATTGAGAATATCTATATCAAGATTTCCAGTCCCAAGCGCAGGGTGTTTGCCAATGCCGACTGTTTTAAGAAAACTCCAGGCTTTTGCTGAATCGCAATTTGAAAGTGAATCATAAAAGTAGCGCCTTTTAGCATCTCTACACAAACGATTGCAGCGGTTGCGCAGACTCTTAAACTTTATTAAATTTCTTTCCAAGGGACAATGTTTATATCTACTTCTGGCTTTATCCCTACGCGCCATAAGCTCTTTTATCTCAGTTGTAATCCAGGGCGCAGGACAATGTTTTATTTTTATACGTTTGACAGGTGCATGGCAATCATACAATCTAAGAATTAAAGCGGTAAAGTTGTTAACCATATCATCAATATTATGACAATCTTTTACGGAAGACCAATCTATTTTACTTGCATCACGTCGTATGCCTTCCAAGTCAATACCCTTATAGGTACGAAGAAATCGAAAATGTGATTTGCTCTTAGGTGGACGAACACGGTACGATATGTAAATGAGGTCATGGTACGAAAAAAGAAGCTGTTATTTGTCCATGATTTGCAATGTTATTTAAAGATGAAACAATGATAAGGTCAAGTAAAGACGGAGTGCAGTTTGGAAAATGATGGGTGGCAAATAGGGGTAAAATTTGTAGGTTATGTGAGGACACAATAGACTTCAGCTTAAGTGCACGTGAATCGTCCTTCAGTAAGCACGTATTGAAATCTCCCATCACGATTACATGACTATATATAGGACAGAAGTCTGTAAGTAAATTTTCAAATACATCAAAATAATTAATTTGCATATTAGGGTTGTATATCACACCAAGAAGGATTTTTGTATGATGAAGTGTAACTTCAAGAAAAAGGTGCTCAGCAGATTCAGAATAAGTAGACGGGGAAGCAGAGATATGTTTGTATGGGATTTCAGAACGCAAGTAAATAGCTACACCACCTCCTCCTTTACCAGTCCTATCATTACGTATCAAAACGTAACCAGGAAGTGAAAACTGAAAAGAAGGGAGAGAAGGCTTATAAAAAAGTTTCAGATATAAGAAGTGCGTCGATTAGATTACTGCTAATGGATGCAAGAAGGTCAGGATAGTGGGCGGGAACACTTTGTGCGTTGATATGGGCAACGTTAAAATTATTGGGATAGGGAGAAAAAATAGCAGAAATATGATCATGCAGTCCAAGATGGTCGGATGACTCGGCATCCGCGCTTAAGAAACTGGTAGAAGATGAATTACACGAGAAAAAACTAGCATCAAAATCAGATGGACTTTCCACAATTATGACAATAAAAATAAAAAGTAAAAACTATAAAATTATAATAAAAATAACCTAATAATATAATATATAAAGCAATACCCTAAAATAAAAATAAATAAATTCTAAAGAGAAAATATACCTAACTTATAATTAAAAAATAAAACGTAAATAAATATAAAAACAACTCAGCTCAACTCACTAGCGTAATGGAATTATTTTTAACTAAGTCTTTGTATACCTGTAATATTTTCGTATAATTTATTTATAATTAATTTATGCTCAGATTTATCACAGAATTTATCACAACAATTATTTAACTCTACAGGAAAATCTACTAATCTTAATCTATTATTACAATATACTGAATATAGGTTAATCTGTTGACTATCCTTGTGCCCCCAAATTACCCCATTTGTACTTTTAGACTGGATGGGCTGTACCTGCGAGAAACCTAAACTAATTTTACAGTCCACTTCCAAGGGATAGTGATCAGACCACGTCACATCGTTTCTTACGTGTATGCTTTCAATATATTTATTAGCCATACACGTTACAAGGCAATGGTCCAACCATCGTGAGCAGCCATGAGCATCACTGGTGTACACATTAGATTTTCTTGACATCATTTCATAGTCAGCACATACCCACGTCTGCTCATCGCAAAAACTAAGCATTTCATTAAAAAACAGCTCTCCCGGGTGTGCGTTAAAGTCGCCTAACATAAAAACTATACTAATGTCACATTCCTCGATAATTGCGTTAATTTCACTTAGGCACTCTGTGAATTCCGCAAGGTTCTCGACACAGTCTGTCGGCATATAGACGGAAAAAATAAGCATAGCTTGTTCACGTACTTGACACTTAATCGCACACAGCCTCACACTATTACATTTTTTGCAGACACCGAAGAAAACACATTCTTACGCCATAACAGCGCAACACCCCCATGTGGTCGCCCACGCAAAATGCCCGCGGCTGAATCTACAGCAGTAGTACCCGTGGTTTCAAAGTCTTCGTGAACGGTGCTGAGGTATGAGAGGTCGTGGTCCATTAGCCAGGTCCTCCAGGTCCATGTTCTCCTGCAATGGTACTACCGAGGCACCCTCACACAACACCCTCACACTGTCTACCGATCGCTTCAGGGACTTACAATTAAAGCTAACAAGCTTTAATGTCCGACGTTCATGACTATTTTTGTCCTGACCCATTATTTATGTTGTTCTTTTGATACAACAGTGTCTTTTTCACATTTCTAAATATTATGAATCGTCTAAAATATATGCCTTCCGGCCATAATTATCGTCACTAAATAAGGACAACTTACTCCTAGGTATATAGAATTTAAAAGAAATATAATCCCTTGAAGATTTCATATGTACTTTTTCTGGCACAATACGAATATGTGTCTTTTCGAATACATAATCCGCAACATCTTGCTCTGTATTCTCCTTTGAGACATTATAAATGAAAAGCGGGATTTGCACATCGGCTGCCCTTAATTTAAGTGACGGATCTATCGAAGCCTTTCCCCGCATGCCTTTAAAACGTGACGTCTTACGCCTTACGACCTGAACCCATTCTCCTTCACTATTATTTTGTATCTGGGCTTCCCCATCACCGCCCGTTATGATCGCGCGTGACACCGCCGCAACCGCTGTCAGCGAAGACGGCGACGGCGGCGCGCGCGCCACCGCTTCGACGTTCGGCACGTGCGAAGTGCATTCTTGATCTCCGCAGTGGGCCTCCTTTCCGCGGTGGGCCTCCACGTGTTGCCGTTTCTGCCCCGGAGCGACAGAGAGCGGCTCACCGGTAGACACCGCCGCAGCTCTCGCGTAGGAAGGAGATGGGTGCGCAATAACTCGTTCTTGCATAAATATGCTCGGCGGTGTATCACTTCCTAGGTCGGTCATTAACCCCATCGGCCCGCTTGTTGAGTCATAACTATCTTGCAGGCAAAAGCCGCCCCTCCTGTTATTCACACAAGGCTCCGTTTTCCTCGTTTCTCCATACAATGTATCCGGATTGTTTTCTTTGTCAACATATTTTTCAAAATCTTTTTTTGTCATATATTCGTCCTGTTTCCCTTGTAGGTCACGTACCTGATTCTGAAGCAAAAGAATATCCTTCAGTACACGCGTAGCGTCGACATGGTCAAATGTAACGGGTCGCAACTTATATAGATCTTTTGCCACAAATATAGGAATGTCATCGGGCTCAGCACTTCTTAATACCCCGATAATGTCATCTATATTTTTCTGTTTCCGATCTTCACCCTTCCGTTTAACCAGTCGTTGCGGAATCGACTCGAACAGCAAACAATTTGCCTCGTAAACCTCCTCCTCATCAAAGGACTGCTTGCATAACAGTGCCAAACTAACATTGTTCATGACGTCTAATTTATTTTGGCAAAAACATAACACCTCATTTATCACAATCTGACAACTATTACACTTTAGTTTACTCATCTCGCTAGAGTCATCAACCTCTGACCGACCGCGCGCGCTGTCAGCTGACGACTGACGACGACTTAAACATCGATGTTACCACATCTTAAACATCGATGTTGTCACATGTCCAACATCGATGTCAATGAACCAATAATCGATTAATTAGAACTTGTAAACAATGCGATCCCGCGAAATCAATATAAACTAAATATTTCATCTCCTATTAAAGGTTTAAAGTTTTGAAATATTAAGGATTCCTAAATGCATCGATCACCTAAAAAAATATCATTTTGTTGTGTCAAACTCCCTGTCAAGTGTGAACTGTAATGTCATAGTTGTAACTACTTTCGCTTTGTTATTGTGGTGTCATTGTCAGTTGTTGCCTAATAACTATTCTGCATAAATTGATATTCAAATTAATTGTTTTCCCTTGCTGTCTATACACACATAATTTTGAAACAATATGACGACACAATGGAGAAGATAACAAGGTAACAATATTAGACTTTTAAGTACGTAGGTAAAAGTCTAGACCAAACACATAATTCTAGTTTTTATTTTACATCGATCGGTGCACTATTACCGAAGTTATAAGCGTGGAAAGTTTACGTACATTTTTAAAGTCTCGCACGTGCCCGCGAGTAGCGCGTGACGTCATCATTTCCATGTAGCCGCGCCGCCATACCGTTCCAGCGCGCCGATCATACGTTTGTGGTAATATTTCGTGGGTGAGTTGAGCGTTGATTGTCGTCTACATGCACCTAGGTGCAATGCAGGTATCGGGCCTCGAAGTATACCCCATTGCCCGGATAATCCTCATGTCCCATAACTATGGGACAGTCATTGTAGCCTATTCTAGGCTAAGTAAACTTAGACGGACTTTTCCGTGGTTGGAAAAATATTATTTCCGTAGTTGTCCGACTACGGGAAAAAAGAGGTTGTCTGGTAAAGTCTGGGTTGGCCTTTCAGCGGCATTGAGGGTTGTTACTCGACTCTCCAATTACTATAGAGAGGAGTTCTCTTGGAAGAGGTCGCCCGTCCGGGGGCCGAGCGTGCAACGGCGCAAAGCCGTTGAGGTGTTCATGTGGCCCGTTGTCGGCGCGGTCGAACATGCCGCGCGCCATCCGGGCCACGAAGTCGGTGATGTTCTCGACTTTCAGATCGGCCGCTATGACGTCATTCCGGACGTAGCGACCTGCTCCGACGATCGTCCTTAATGTCAGATTCTGCTGGGCCTGCAGTCGCCGCCTCAGAGCAGCGTATGTGATGATGGTCCGGATATACATCTTGTATATCCGGAGCTTGGTTCTAATCGGCAGCTTGGATGCCAGAACCGGCAAGAGCGTCGCCATTGATTTTACGACTACAATGATATGATTTGATAGTTACATATAAGCCTGGAAGGTATATGTACTTGGCCGATACATTATCACGTGCCCCTATTGCAGAACTATATAATGATAAAGTGAGTGATAATAAATGAGTGATTGGGGGGATAAGTCGCTCGCGTCCGTAGGCTTCGACCACCTAATCCTAGACCCACCCTACACGTTTCCCCCGGGTGGTGCTAAAAGAGCGACAAAGCCGAAAGAACAGACTCGGCTACTCGCCGTGTGGTAGTGGCGTAAAATATACCATCCCCTTGTTTTTGCACCATGAGACAAAGAGGAAAAGAAATGGCCCCGTGTTCCCGACGCCCCTTTAATGGGGCAGGGGTGCGAAGAATCTCCGGAAGGAAAACCGGCGACGAGGTTCGCCACCCGTCACGTTCTGTCTCCCGGAGGGGCGAAAAGAGGAAAAAATATATATATAAAAAATATATATAAAATAAAGGTCCTTAATAATTTATCTCGAAACAGCCGATTTACTATCTCCAAAAAGAGAGCAACATTGCGGAACTGGGCTTCAGGATATATTTTAAAAACTTGCCAGACACTAGCGCAGTGCAAGAAGAAGTAGATAGTTTTGAATTGGCTATAAAAAGCTCGATAACTATTGCCTCCATAAACAAAATAAGTCTTATGAGAGACATATTTTCGTTCAATTAAACAAGAAGACTGGACATTTTGAAAAATTTCTTTTAAAATTAAGAGATCAGACTAAAAAATGTAAATATGATAATCTCGATGATCATATTATCGATTAAATAATAGAATGATGTGCATCGGTAGAGCTCGGGAAAAAGATTTTAACAATAGGGGATACAGTGATATTATACAAGGTGGTCATAGAAGCAAAGACAGTAGGGGTAGTAAACCTTAAACTGGAAAGCTATGAACGGAAAGAAAAAGGCCAGCGAGATATATTCAGTCACAGGTAAGAGCAGGGGTACTTCGGAATGGAGAAAAACTGAAATGATATCAGGAAATTTTAAGTGTTGGAGATGCGGAAAAGCAATGCATAATATCCGTGAAACAAAATGTCTAGCCAAAGAAAAATAATGTCACGGGTGTGGAAAAGTGTAACACCATCAAAGATACCGTAAAACAAAGGTAAACAGATTTAAAAGGAGAATAGAACATGACCAAGAGGAAGGCATAGAAATAAAAATATCCCGTAAGGATTCTACAATCAATACTTTAGAGGTCGATGATTTCCAGTACATCATTTAAAGACGCAGCCATAAAGTAAACATAGGTGGCGTTGAGCTACAAATGTTAATTGATTCAGGTTGTAAAACAAGTTTAATAACTGATAATTCATGGGAATATTTGAAAATAAATAAAGTTATTTGTAAAAATCAAACTAAGGAACCAAATACAATATTATTGGCATGTGGCAGTAGCATATCATTACAGATAAAAGGTTTATTTGAAACTGAAATTAAAACAAATGGGAAAAACTAATTTCTGCACAATTTATGTCATAAAAAACGGATCCAGGATTTATTAGGAAAGGATTCAGCAACGCAATTAAGAGTTTTAAAAGTGGGCTTTGGCATCGACCATGTTGGTCAAGAACTAACCAAGCCGTTTCCAAAGTTTAAAGTTATTTAAGTGCAGATTCCGATAAATTAATAACTCCATATAAATAATGTTAAAATACTTTCCATCAAGTTGAGCTTCATCCCATTCTAGATATTTAACCACCTTTGTAACTTCTAGTGATATAAAAGACTTATGTTTGGAGTCACATGTGTAACAGAGCTGTTCTAAAAATCTTAGAAAGAATGATAATTAAACGTGAAGGCGTAATTAATTTTATCATCGAAATTTTTATTTGGGGCATCAGTGAAGAAAAACATGATTTGTGACTTTCACAAATATTGGATGTGTTAAATTAAAATAATGTCCGGCTTAGTTAAGATAAATGTTTGTATAAAGTGCAAAAAGTTAAGTTTCTTACTAACACGAATTAACACCAGATGGGTTAACAGCTCTACCTAAATATATCAAAAGTATAACCGAATTTAGAGTACCAAAAACAATTGAGGAGTTACAAAGTTTTCTTGGATTAGTAAATTACATAAATAAATGGATTTCGAAACTAGCTACTAATATTAATGACCCATTAAAAGAATTAATTAGGATGAAATTAGAAAAAGGGGCTAACATAGACAAATACTGGACAGAAAAACAGGACCATGCATTAAGGTGTCAACAATAAAAATTAAAAAAATAGAAACCTGAAGATATTATGACGTCAAAGACAAGACCCAAGTTATAGTGGATGCGAGCCCTGTAGGATTAGGAGCTGTTTTGTTACAAACTAATAAAAGGGATCCCAGAATCATTGGCTATGGAAATTGGACGTTAACAAACTCTGAACCTAATATATTCAGTAATCTTTGTTCTGAACGAAAATACAGCCAAACAGAGAAGCTCTTGCTCTTGTTTGGACTATCGAACATTTTAATACATTTCTTTTCGGGAAGGAAAAAAAATTGATTTAATCACTGATCATAAACCACTGTAATCCCTATTTATTCCTAAGTTAAAGCCGTGTACCCTCGTCAATAAATGGATAAGATAAAATATAAGCCGGGAAATACAAACATTGTATATCCACTATCACAGTTATGCAACGGAACACAATTATGTACAACCTGTACAGGATCACTATGTATGCCAAATAGTACAATTAGCAAAAACATATGCTATTTCTATGCGAGATATAATTTCACAATCTGAAAGTGACTTAGAAATAACGAACGTAAAAAATGGACTCCATAGCAATCAGTGGCATGAGTCAGTCAAAAACATTAATATTTTTGGAAATGAACTTTGTTTTTATGACAATATTCTCTTGAGAGGAAATAAAGAAATGAAATAGAGAAATGTTATACATTAAAAAAAAATAGAAGGAATATGGAACTCTATCCATGGCGAGACCACTTCATCTTCAGGAGGCCATGAAAGGGAAGATCATACGAGGGTGGATTGAAAAGTACTCGGCCTAACACAGATCCATTCAATTCTAAAAATCAAATCTACCCACATTATTTAGTTCAGTTCAGACTAGTTCATTGTGTGAAGTTCGAAACGTGTGCGATAATTAGTTGTGATTTTATAAATTTATTAACAAAGTAATCGGACATAATTTCCGCGAATGGAGCAAATCGAGCAGCGTGCCGTCATTAAGTACCTCCATAAGAAGGGGCTATCATCAAAAGCCATCCATGATGACATGGTCAGTACATTAGGCGATTGTGCTCTGTCATATTCATCCGTCAAAAAATGGATAGCAGAATTTAAGCGTGGTAGAGAGAGTGTGAAAGATGAACCCCGCTCTGGAAGGCCTTCGACGTCAACTACTGACGAAAATATTAAAAAAAGTACTTGATTTAATAATGGGAGACCGCAGATTAAAAATTAGAGAGATAGCCGAGATTATAGGCATCTCTTATGAATGAACTCAAAACATCATTGTAAACGAGTTGGGTTTCCACAAGGTGTCTGCGAGGTGGGTTCCGAGACTGCTTTCAGTTGAACCAAAAAAGGACGCGATTGACTATTTCACGCGACTGTTTGGAGTTATTTGAAGCTGATGCAGATGATTTTTTGAATCGTTTTGTTACTATGGACGAAACATGGGTTCATTACTGTACACCGGAAACAAAACAACAATCAAAACAGTGGAGAAGACCTGGTTCACCACCCCCTAAAAAGGCTAAGTCGATTTTGTCGGCAAATAAGGCGATGGCTTCAGTATTCTGGGACTCGAAAGGTGTGATTATGATTGATTATCTTGAAAGGGGTCAGACTATAAACTCTGATTACTACTGCACCTTACTACGTCGTTTACGAGAGGAAATAAAAAGAAAAACGTCGAGGAATGCTCAGAAGAAAAGTCCTGTTTCATCAAGATAACGCCCGTGTTCACACGTCAGTACTGTCAATGGCTGAAATTCACAACTGTGGCTTTGAACTGTTACCGCATCCGCCGTATTCACCTGATCTGGCACCATCAGACTTCTTTCTGTTCCCTAACCTAAAAAAGCACTTGGGAGGTCAAAGATTTTCGACAAACGACGAGGTCAAAGCAGCTGTAGACGCATATTTTGACTCTAAGGAAGAATCATTTTTTTTCAACGGTCTAAATGCTTGGAAGGGGAGGTGGCAAAAGTGTATTGAACTTGATGGTGATTATGTAGAAAAATAAAAATATAACTGATTTAGTATGTGTTTATTTTCTTCGTTAGGCCGAGTACTTTTCAATCCACCCTCGTAACAGCAAATTAAGTTCATTAATTGAATATCATTTGGATTAAAAATGTTATTTCATTTGAGTAAAAAAATTCCTTCATAAGGAAGGGATTTGTGTCTATTTAATAGATTCAATACACTGTCTCATACACACAAGTAGTGGGGGGTAGCACGCCATTCGGTTGTTGCACTGAGTGCCGGCCATAGATTACTGATAATATACTAGAGAGTTAGTTGCTTTGTGGAGTTACCCGAGGTAGGACGTGTACCCCGAAAGACTTGGTGTGATAGTGAGCCAGTGTTAAGAGTTGTGAATATTATACTATAAAAGTTCTACACCTACTATTATGGAATCACATGACAAATAATGGAAAAGGTTATTTTTCAATATTTATAATATTTATATTAAATATTCCCTAATTATAAATATTGTATAAAAATTAGTTATTAGTTTCTGATAAATACTTGATCGTAAACAAAGATTTCAGTAATGTTATTATTTTGTGTAATGTAATTGTTAATTACAGATTACCTCCAATAGATATAAATTTCTTACGTCTGTAATTTTTAAACTGTGAACGTAAGTTTTCGTCTACTACATCCATATTGGATACTAAATATCGCCGTTTTTGTCTGGAACTAAATATAATATAAATATTACACATTCGAATTAATATTCATCCTCCCACAGAAGTCCGTCAAAAGTCCAACAATACCTAATCGTTTGGTCACTCGAGTAGAAAGGGACGCAATCTTGTTTACCACCATATCACTCGAGCTCATTTTTTTAACACATCATTGCACAATCTAGTTTTAAATATTATGGCGACAACTCGGATACAGACTCAGATCAGTCGCTCAACCGAACCGCATATTGTATGAAGTCGAGCGACCTGTGTTGATAAACAAATCCGAAACCACACGACCGGTACTATGGACCGTTGTTATTGTAATTTTTAAGATTTAAAAGAAACGAATAGTACTAATGTCATTAAGAATTACATAGTACAAAAGGTAACGCTATCTTTTTGTAAATTTAACGTGGCAGATCTCGTGGATTCGTGGAAATTTAGTCTAGTGAATAGTGCGGTTGCAATTACTTTTATTGTACGCATAGGACCGCGTGGACTAATAGTAGGTAATTGTTAGGTTGCCATGATAAAAAATAATTATTAATCTGTGGATTGTGTATTCCAGTGGTGGTGTTAGGCAATTTCTCGCCTTTTAGGCTATCTCGAAGGGTGTCGGAGCGACCTATAACTGCAAATGACGACTGGTCGCAAGTTAGGCTACTTGGGAAAAAAAGAGGGTGACTTTTACGTATGCTAAATTAATCGCTATCTTTAATAATGTTTTTGTGATAGAGAAATGTCAAAGAAAAAGTAGATTTAAAGGTATTCAAAATATATTTTAATGATAATTACATAGAGACCAAGACAAATAGATATTTTGCATTATTTGCCCCTGCCTCCGCCGCCACGCTGGGTGCATCTCCTCCATCCCTTTCCTTGGTCCTCTACATATATGATTGTTGTTTGATTTTGTTTGTTTTTTAGATTGCGCAACAAGATGCAGTTGCTTTAACACGTGTTTTGGGTGTCGGAAAAATGTGCTGCAACAATTTCACACCTTTGTGATTTAACTGCACAATTTCCGTAATATATATACTAAACACCACAGATTTGATGCTCAATCTGATTCTTCCACCTCTGTTACTGATCCCTTTAATTCATTAGTATTAAGAAATGATGATTATGGAGGAATTTGAGAAGAGTTTCTTTTATTGACGAATGATTAACAAAAAATATATGTTCTAATGATATTTTTAGATGTAACAATTTTTTTTATTTTAGGGACTTACGTAATTTTTAACATGTCAGTCCCATTGTACCTTATAGCTAAATAACACACTACAATTTCTTAAATTATTTACACAAAATATTAACTAAATTATATACCATTTGAGCAGCATTAGTCAATGGTTCTTACAGAATGCTTTGATATTCCCTACGTTACATATTTTAATGTCAGTTTTGGCAACTAATAGTTTCCTTTCATTATGATTTTTGGAACATTCGGCGAGCAAGTGTTGTACGTCTTCTATTGTCTTGCATGTATCGCAATTTGGAGATTGTTTCTTTTTCATCATGAAAGCAAACTTGTTAGACGGAATGTGTCCGGAACGAAGTCGCATTGCTAATACAACATATTTTCTGTTCAACAGACATTAATTAAACCAAGGCACTTACGGAGGCTGATTCTGGATGGTTTTGTACCAAATCCCTTTTTCTTGCGATCTTTTATAAAAATATTCTTTCCAAAGTGTATAACATTTCTCTTTATATTTAATTAAAATTTCAGAATAATCTTTTTGTTGGTTATCTGTCATGCCTGTAAACCAATGTGAGACGATACCCACTGCAATTCTAACTCACGGTTTTTACATTGAAGTTTCAATATTTCATTTAATATCGAATATGCTATCGATACACCTCTGAGACTAGAGACGCATCGAGCAATATGTTCGAGAGCACTCTTGCTATCAGTTAGAATGACTGTTTTTTGAAAATTTGTTGTACCAACGTGTAATAGGGCATCATTTATAGCAATTAATTCAGCTGACATTATCGTAAAATTATTAGGAATTTTAATTTTACATTTATTACCCAGAAATGAGTTGAAATAATCGGCACCTACACCATATTTCTCTTTGAATACATCACAGAAAATTTTGTGCCATCCGAAATAATTAACATTTAATTCATTTATTACATTCGATTCTAGAGTATTTATCTCCTGACATCTTTGACAACCGACAACGATACCACAGAATAACAAAGCGAAAGTAGTGATAAATGTGACATTATAGTTTACACATGACAGTGAGTTAGACACATCATAATGATATATTTTTAGTTATAAACGATGCATTTAGGAATCCTGAATTATTTAAAATTTTAAACCTTTAATAAGAGATAAAATATTTTAGATGATATTGATTTTGCCGGTTCGCATTGTTAAGTTCTTATATTCGATTATTGGTTCATTGACATCGATATTCGATGTTTGACATGTGGCAACATCGATGTTAAAATATCGATGTTTTAATTTTTAACATCGATGATCATCGAACATCTCTATATCCCTATACTCTACTCTATGGTAGAATGGTAGAATATAGGAGTAATAGTATTCTGTGGGTAGAATCTATGATTCATGATTCCATTGTCAACATTGAACAATCGATCTTCGAAAAATTCAAATCGTTATATGTATTTCAACACCATACCAATGACATAACATTATACACACGAAGAAAAATGGTTTTAAAATATCATATATTTTTAATTGTACTTATGTACATATTTAAACGTAAGTAATTCAACATTTTACAATTTAAATAAGGGTGAGCGGTGACGCCCATAACGCTTTTTATTTTAATTTCAGTAAGTTCAGTATCTTCAGAATGCACAATTCCTATGGTGCTTCGAAATACATGGTTTTCCTATGAAAATGGCCAGCAAACCATTACTGATATAAATGCTAGTGAAATGACTGGAAGGTATAATTTTATTTTTCATTTATGAAAATTACATTAAAACTATTATATTTTTATAACCTATCTTCTGTAAATTATATTATTCTGTATAATGTTAATTGTGACATAATAATTGTGGTCATGTAGAAAGAGTGAATGAGGAAAGAGTAACATCAACAACAGATGTGAATGGCAGTCGGGAAGGGACGCCCTAGAAGAAAGTTTATCGACCAAATTGGCGATATTTTGAAAATGGGCCACATTAGAAGTACCCTTAACTGACGAGCATGTATGCATAGATATATGGATGTAAAGGAGGTGAAAGAGGTATGTTAGGATCGTGCCAAATGGAAGTCTGTAGTCTCTGCCTACCCCTCTGGGTGACAGGGGTGAGTGTTTATGTTATGTTATGTAATTATATGCTTATGATTTACTTATCAAGAAACAAGAGAAATAATTGTAAAGTTGTATTGTAATTATTCTTATACAATTTTTATGCTACTATTATAACTCGAATTTAATAGGATGAAATTTTTTATTGACATAAATGCGGGAATACACATGCTTGTAGCTTGCACAGTGGCATACCAGCTCCTTGCATATGCCATCTATTATCTTAACATGTTGAGCGCCATGTGTTTCTTTTTGGAAACACAAAATGCTACCTTCTGAGGCAGCGTGTTTCTTTTTGGATACACGGTCGACCCTTTAGTTCGAGGCCACTGTATCCACTAGGAAACACGTTTTCATACATTTTACTACGGAATCTTTTACTTCTGGCCTCCACGAAGGTTTCGGTCCGAGTGGGTTTTTTATATGTCTTTTAGGTAAAAAAATTATGACAAGAATAAAAACACCTATTTTTAGGAATTACTTTTATTTGTATTGTTCTCATTTCTTTTAGAAACACACAAAACCACCAGTAGATAGATAGATAGAATATAACAGGCTGGTATAATTAGTAGTTTTTTTTACGAAAAAGTAGTTAGTAGAGCTTGTCAAAGTGATCTGTACATAGCAAAACTTGGCAAATAGAGCATCTTCATTTGTTTGGAAAATTTGCGATCGATCGGTAGATCGAGATAAATTCTCTATGTAGTGTGTGTCAAGTGGCTTGATGAAACCGACGCTGATCTTCAACAAAGCACAGTGCCAACAACTGACTTGCAAAATGCTTATCCAGTTGTTAGTGTTGATGACAATCTTGTTAATCCATGGTCTGAGCACAATGTACATTAAATATGTTCATGTACTAGTACGATATTAAATATGTTCATGTATTAGTACAATATGTTTTTCGCATGATTACACAATTTTTTTGTAATTTTAATTTCAAAATTTGACCATGTGATTTTGGGGGGGTGGTTCGTCTTAAACCTCACCACATATATGGAGTGACGATGAAGTTATCACGTTAAATGAAAAGGATGTGTTTTATATAACATTCTTTAAACATACTGTTATATATCATGGATTGTGATAAATAGTTATGGATGTGGGTACTTACATAACATTGTTAAGAAATAATGTTAGTTAAGTAAACTAGTTTTGTCATTAGTCTTGCTACCTAGCACAATACACGTATTTACCTAAATTACGGTATTTTATTGGATCTAACAGTGGCGACGGAGTGTAAAAAGTGGAACAATGGAACGTAAATCAGTAAAATTTCACGAATTTAATTTACAAAGTGATAATTGGGACAATTATATAGAACGATTAATGTACTGTTTTGAGGCGAATGGAATCGTCTCGGACGCGGTTCAAAGGGCGAATTTTTACACGGTTTGTGGCGCAAATGTATATGAGACTGTTTTGGCATTAATTACGCCTAAAAAATCTAGTGATGTGACATTCGCGGAAATTGTAACAATTCTTACGAAGCATTATAGTCCAAAACCAAACGAGATTTCAGTGTCTTTCCAATTTTATAAACGTGATCAAAAAGAAAATGAATCAGTATCAGAATATATTGCACATATTAGAAAAATAAGTGCGGGGTGCAATTTTACGGGCTTGGAACGTATGCTTCGTGACAGACTTGTGTGCGGTATGAGTGATAAGAAATTGCAGTATGAATTGCTAAAAAAAGACAATCTACAGTATACGGATGTAGTGCATGCCATGCTATCATCTGAAAGTGCAGTGAGGGATGTCCGCATGATGCAAAGTGTGACAAGCACTAACTTTGCCACCTCCAGGGATTCAATTTCCACTACTTCACCTGTAACATCATCATATGAGCCCATGGATGTCAATGCCATGAAATCTCAAAATAATATTATATTCTGCTACCGATGTGGCGATCGTCATGGCGGTGTGTGTCGTTTCATAAATGCTGTTTGTAATTTTTGCAAGAAAAAAGGGCATATTGAAAAAATTTGCACAGCTAAAAAGAAAAGCCGTAGGGGCAATGTGAATTATACACAAGAGTTAGATACACATCTAAATGGCATTTATAACTTGGAGAGTTTGACTTCACGGGTACCGGCATATAGAATAAAGCTTCTATTGAATGGTGTGCCAGTGATCATGGAGGTGGACTCTGGGTCTGCTTTCTCAATTTTGAATGAACACACATGGATGGAGTTACACTCTAGAACTATACTAGATATACTGCCTCATAAGTTACGTACGTGGAACAACTCCCCGGTACAAGTAATGTGTCAAGCTACAGTGCAAGTGCAATTTAAAGACATTAAGTGTAATTTGAATATTGTTATAGCGAAGGGCACGGGCCCAAATCTTATTGGTCGAAACTGGTTTAAAGCATTAGATATTACTTTAAATACTATTAATGTTTTTGATATTGATATGACAGATATTGATAAAGTGCTTAATAAATATAATACAGTTTTCAGAGAAGGGCTTGGTACATATAGAGGGAACCCGGTGAACATACAAATTAAGCCTAACACTGTTCCTAAATTTTTAAAAGCTCGACCAGTGCCATTCGCGTTAAAAGAAAGGATTGAAAAGGAAATCGATCGTTTAGTGGGGGGAGTTTACATCGTACCGAACTCTCATTACATGAGGAATGTATTTTATTTGGTTGCCGCGTAGTGGTGCCGCCATCGCTGCGTGAGTCTTGTCTGGGTGCCTTACATAAGACACACGTTGGTGTCGTGCAAACGAAGGCATTGGCAAGAAGTTACATTTGGTGGCCACAATTGAATCATGACATTGAAGTTTTAGTGGGTGAATGCTCAAAATGTTTAGAAAACAGGCATATGCCCCCTAAAACAAGCTGTGAATGGATAACACCAACTAAACCGTGGTCTCGAATTAATGTAGACTTTGCGGGACCTTTTCAAAATAAGACATTTCTGATTGTCGTCGATGCTTATTCGAGATGGCCAGAGGTTTTTATGGTTAACAATATGACCTCTGGAACAATTATCCGACATTTAAGGGATATGTTCGCAACACATGGATTGTGTGAAACCTTGGTTTCAGATAATGGAACCCCATTTGTATCGACAGAAATGAAAATATTTCTTGAGGCCAATAAAATTAAACATGTCACTACAGCACCGTATCACCCGGCTACCAATGGTTTAGCTGAAAGGATGGTCCAAACCATTAAGGACAAACTACACAAGATGGATGATGTTCCATGGGATATTAAACTCCCTAACATTTTACTAGGTTTGCGTGTTACACCTTGTACAGCAACTAAAAAGAGTCCAGCAGAACTTTTAATGAACAGACGCCTACGAACTTTGCTAGATACAATTCATCCCGATAATCGCCAGCAAAGAAAGAGAACACAACAAATTATTAGTAACGCTCAAAAAATTAACAGGGAATCAAAGACGGGCCAAAATGTAATGTATCGGAATTATGGTAATGGGCCAAGATGGTTACCAGGAACTGTGGTAAATAGAAAGGGACCATCTAGTTATGAGATTGCTACAGATGATGGATCTTTAGTAAATAGGCATATTGATCAAGTAATTAACAAAAGGCAATCTGACTTGAGTGCAAGAGAGGATGAAGAGATGTCGGAAGAGCAAGATATAACAGTTAATAGTGAACTATTGGACAATGACTTAACAGAGGAAATAACTGACGATAACATAGGGAAAGATAAGACCAATAATGATGTAAGAGAAGAGACTTTTGAAATACCTAGTCAGGATAAATGGGCGGTATACCAACTAATACGTAAATAACTTATTCTGGGGGAAAAATTAGGAATAAAATGAATGTTCATTCTAAGTCACCATATGAGAGACGTAATAATTTCATAGCTTAAGTTTACCTGTTTTAATATAAATATATATTTAGTGTATTAGATTATGTTAAGTATTAGAAGTTGATTATTGAGTTAAAAATTAATATTGTATGTACATGCTTGGGGGAAAGGTATGTTATATGTCATGGATTGTGATAAATAGTTATGGATGTGGGTACTTACATAACATTGTTAAGAAATAATGTTAGTTAAGTAAACTAGTTTTGTCATTAGTCTTGCTACCTAGCACAATACACGTATTTACCTAAATTACGGTATTTTATTGGATCTAACACATACATAACTAAAAATTGTAACAATTAACATCCTAGTCCCAATAATCATTTTTTTTCGATTTAATAATAAACGACATCAAGTGCATATATTTATCACCTGACGAACACAAAAAGTTAAAGACCCATGGTTAGGGCTGCCATCTCTAAAACCTGCCCCCCAGGACCGGAAGCGTAAGTTCCCCAGATTTTTAAGCTTTCACCCCGGATATTTCAATACTTTTTTCATTTACCTACATCTTGATTTAAATATGTTTTACTCCATACTTGATAGAAGAAAACTTTAATTTTAAGCCTCTTTTGTTGCATGAAATAGTGTGTTTAATCATTCTTGTGAGACAAGTGAGTAATTTTGCTTTATTTTTTAACTTAACTAAAATTTTAAACTTAAATTACTCTATTATTAATTTTTTGATAACAATGTACCTAAATAAATATACATAAACAAATACTGTAGCTCCCTATTTAAACAACATTAAATCAGTCTTTAATTT